TTGATCTTAGAAGTTCTTCCTCAGCCATGGCATTGTCTGTGTATACAAAGGCTGTTGATTTTTGTGCATTGATTTTATACCCTGCTACTTTGCCAAACTCTTCTATGAGTTCCAATAGTCTCTTAGTGGAGTTCTTTGGGTCCCCTAAATACAGAATCATGTCATCTGCAAAGAGGGATAGTTTGAGTTCTTCCTTCCCAATTTGTATCCCTTTAATTTCTTTTTCTTGCCTAATAGCTCTGGCTAGAACCTCCAGAACTATATTGAATAGCAGTGGTGAGAGTGGGCATCCCTGTCTAGTTCCAGATCTCAGTGGAAATGCTTCCAACTTTTCCCCATTCAATAGGATGTTGGCTGTGGGTTTTTCATAGATTGCTTTGATTGTATTGAGGAATGTTCCTTCCAAACCCAGTTTGCTTAGAGTTTTCATCATGAACGGGTGTTGAATTTTATCAAATGCTTTCTCGGCATCTATTGAGATAATCATATGGTTTTTCTTCTGCAGTCTGTTAATGTGGTGTATCACATTGATTGTCTTGCGCACATTAAACTATCCCTGCATACCAGGGATAAATCCCACTTGGTCTGGGTGGATGATCTTTCTGATGTGTTGTTGCATTCTATTGGCGAGAATTTTATTGAGGATTTTTGCATCTATGTTCATCAGGGATATTGGTCTGTAATTCTCTTTCAATGCTGCATCTTTTTCCGGCTTAGGAATTAAGGTGATGCTGGCTTCCTAGAAAGAATTTGGGAGGACTCCCTCTTCTTCGATTGTTCTGAATAGTTTGAGAAGAATTGGAGTTAGTTCTTCTTTAAACGTCTGGTAGAATTCAGCAGTGAATCCATCTGGTCCTGGGCTTTTCTTTGTTGGGAGGGCCTTTATTACTGTTTCAATTTCTGTCTCAGTTATGGGTCTGTTTAGGTTTTCGATGTCTTCCTGGTTCAATTTAGGCAGGTTGCATGTGTCCAGGAATCTATCCATTTCTGATAGGTTTCCCTGTTTGCTGGCATACAAGTCCTTGTAGTAATTTCTGATGATTCTTTTTATTTCTGTGGTGTCTGTTGTTACATTTCCTTTTTCATCTCTGATTTTATTGATTTGGGTCTTTTCTCTTCTTCTTTTAGTTAGTTGGGCCAATGGGGTGTCAATTTTGTTTATTTTTTCAAAAAACCAGCTCTTCGTTTGGCTGATTTTTTGTAATGTTTTTCTTGATTCAATCCTGTTGATTTCTTCTCTGATTTTAATTATTTCTCTTCTCCTACTAGATTTGGGTCTGATTTGCTGTAGGTTTTCTAGATCCTTGAGGTGAATAACAAACGCAAAAACCGAGGTAATAAAAACAAGGAAGTCACCATGACGCCCTCAAATGAAAAAGACACCCCAATTCAAGATTATGAAGATGATGACATAGAAGAAATGCAAGAAGCAGATCTCAAAAAATTGATAAGAACATTAAGAAGTTCTCAAAAACAAATTCTGGAACTACACAAATCCTTAATGGACAAGATAGAAAATCTCTCTCGTGAAAATGAAATATTAAGGAGGAATCAAAATGAAACGAAACAACTAGTACAACAGGAAACTGTGATAGTGACTGAAGTGAAGAATTCAATAGATCAAATGAAAAACACAATAGAGAGCCTTAAAAACAGAATGGGTGAAGCAGAAGAGAGAATATCGGACTTAGAAGACAGAGAACAGGAAAGGATACAGTCAGACCAAAGAAAAGAAGAGGAAATTAGAAATCTGAAACATATTGTCGGGAATCTTCAGGATACTATTAAAAAACCCAACATTCGGGTTCTAGGAGTTCCTGAAGGCATGGAGAGGGAGAAAGGATTAGAAGGCCTTTTTTAGTGAGATATTAGCAGAAAATTTCCCAGGTTTGGAGAAGGACAGAGAAATCCTAGTACAGGAAGCCCACAGAACCCCTAATAAACACGACCAAAAGAGATCCTCACCACGACACGTTGTAATTAAACTCTCCACAGTGAAACATAAAGAAAAGATCCTAAAATGTGCAAGAGAGAAACGTCAGATTACTCTCAGAGGATCTCCAATCAGACTCACAGCTGACTTCTCATCAGAAACTCTAAAAGCTAGGAGGGAATGGCGAGATATAGCCCAGGTACTAAGAGAGAACAACTGCCAGCCCAGAATATTATATCCTGCAAAGCTATCATTTGTGAATGAAGGTGAAATAAAGACTTTTCATTGCAAACAGAAATTGAAAGAATTTGTTGCCACTCGTCCAGCCCTGCAAAGGATGCTTAAAGATGTGTTACACACAGAAACACAGAAACACGGTCATCAATATGAAAGAAGGTAAAGGAAGGAAACCAAGGAAGGAAACCTCACAGCAAAAGATCACAGGGAATTCAAAGCATATATTAGAACTTATCTTTGGTAAATGGCAGGGCAAAGTTACCACTTATCATTAGTCACTTTGAACGTGAATGGCCTGAACTGTCCAGTTGAAAGACACCGATTGGCTGATTGGGTTAAGGAACAAAACCCATCTATTTGCTGCTTACAAGAAACACATCTTTCCAACAAAGATCCATACAGACTGAAAGTGAAAGGCTGGAAAAAGATATACCATGCCAACAGAAATGAAAAAAGAGCGGGCGTAGCCATCTTAATATCGGACAACATAAACTTTACCACAACAACTGTTAAGAGAGACAAAGAGGGACACTATATCATGATTAAGGGATCAATTCAACAGGAAGATATAACAATTATCAATGTATATGCACCTAACTACAGGGCACCAGTTTATCTAAAAGATTTATTAACGGACTTAAAGGGAGACTTAGACCCCAATACAGTAGTACTGGGGGACTTCAATACTCCACTCTCAGAAATAGACAGATCATCCGGTCAGAAGATCAACAAGGATACAGTAGACTTAAACGACACTATAGCCCAAATGGATCTAACAGATATATACAGAACTTTTCATCCTACAGCTAAAGATTTTACATTCTTCTCAGCAGTACATGGAAGCCTCTCTAGGATTGACCACATACTAGGCCATAAAGCAAGTCTCAGCAAATTCAAAAGAATTAGAATCATACCATGCAGCTTCTCAGACCATAAAGGAATGAAGTTGGAAATTAGTAACTCAGGAATCCCTAGAGCATACGCAAACACATGGAGATTGAACAACATGCTCCTGAATGAACAATGGGTCATAGAAGAAATCAAAAGAGAAATCAAAAACTTTCTGGAAGTAAATGAGGATAACAGCACAACATACCAAAACTTATGGGACACAGCAAAAGCAGTGTTAAGAGGAAAGTTTATATCAATAGGTGCCTACATCAAGAAATTGGAAAGACACCAAATAGATGAGCTTTCAATTCACCTCAAGGATCTATACTATAGTTTCAATTATATGTAATTGCTTTAAAATTTACTTATATGGGTGAAATGGTCATTTTTCCATTCAATTTTTGTTTATAGCCATTGTCTATATTCCCACTAAACTAGGGTGTTTTTGCTTTTTACTTGTTAAATTTCTTATTTGGTGACATATTAAACCTTTGTACTGAAATGCAAATTTAAAATCATGTTATCTGAAAAATTAAAAAAAAAAAGGGAGAAAGAAAGAGGTTAGGAGGGGAAGCAGTGGAGGGAGGGAGGGAGGAAGGAAGGAGTATCATTGTGTTCTTGGAATTGTATCTACAAATCTCAATGAATCTGTTAAAAACTAATTAAAATTAAAATTATAAAAGCATATGAGGATGAAAGTTCAATACAAAACACAGATGAAGACTATGTAAATTAGAGAAACAAAAAGTTAATAAATAAATATTATTAACATTTTAAAATAAAATTTAAAATAATTGTTCCATAAAAGGTGAAAAATTATTTCTGTATCACTCATTGAGAATAAAATCTCAGAGAGTGGGTTCCAGCTAAGCTTTGGGATATGAGTAATAGAAGTGTTCTTAGGGAGAGCTGCCATCTCTTATGGATCAGGTGCTTTATAAACATTCTTGGTAATTTTCAAGGCAACATTGAAAAGAAAGTCTTATATTTTCATTTTATAGAAGAATAAATTCAGCTTAGAAAGGCTTAAAGGCTTTTGAATACACAAACTTAGTGACTGGCAGAGAGAAATAAGACAAGGGTTTTGAAAATTATTACTGCAAAGTCTGTGTTTTTAAAAATTTATCTATTTGAAAGGCAAATCAACAGAGGGAGGGACAGAAGGAGGTGGGGAATGGGGCAGTGAAGAGATTTTCCATCCTCTTGTTTATTCCTCCAGATGATCTCAACAGCCAGGTATGGGCCAGGCTGAAGTCCAGAGCCAAGAATTTCATCTTAGTGTCTTTCATAAAGTGGCATGGGCCCAAGTGCTTTCTAAGATACATTAGCAGAGAGCTAGATTGGAAGCAGAACAGCCAAGACTTGGACCCACTCTAATGCTAGTAGCACAGGCATTTTACCCTCCTACACCTCAATGTGCATCCCAAGGTATATAATTTTTAAATTAAATCCTTTTAGCTGTTGGGTGAAATCCAGACACAAGACTTTCTGTCTTCCCCTAAGACTGAGGTCATGATAATCTTAGCTCTCCCAGAATTTCACCCACAGCCAACCTTTGGGAGTTCTGCCCTGAAGAAATAGAAAATGAGCTCAGTAAATTGACATGGGAATAGAAAAAGAAAGGTTAGAATGAGGTGAGAGAAACTGGGGCATGGGAGGAAGACACAATGAATGAAGCGAGGAAAAGAAGGATGAGTATCACAAAGCAGACTGCTTCTATTTCAACTTTGGCTGTTTCAGGAAAATAGGACAGTGCCTACCTTATGAATAACTTGGAGACAGCACAATCCTACATTCATACTATTAATGCCAACATCATAATATTTCAATATCTGTAGGTTGTTTCACATTGGCATTTTTAGATTTGTGTCCATTGAAAGCAAGCATTGTGAATTCCTCTGATTAAAAACAATTTTTGGTGCTTTTTTTTTCCCTCAAGGATATCCTGGACCAAAAGGCCAAAAGGGAGAAAAAGGCAGTGGAAGCATCCTGAGTAAGTTTACAGTTTCTCGTCTTCTGTGTGTATTTTTGTGTGAATTAATAAGATTGTGAGGTTAGTGATGTGGGCTTGAGACAAATGTTGTATTCCAGCACAAATCCACAAAATTCTGTGGCTATCAGCCACAGTTCTCTATGAGCATACTAACTGGAGTAAAACAGATTAAATTACACAATTCTTTCAAGCATTTGTATTTTGTTTTTGTGATGAAGGCTATTTTCTAAAAATTCCACAGAGAAAATTGTTCAGTTTTCAAGTCAGTTTCTATCCATTGAAGGAAAATCATGCTTATGAATAAAACAATTACAGCCTCCTTACCTACTAACTGAGCTAACTGGAATCTTCTAGATAGGAATTTAGACAACCCAAGAACTCTGAGAGATTATCCTCAAACACGTAACATTTTTGGTTTTGTTTCACTAAAGCCTTAAAAGTGATATTCTTTGTCCTAAGCTTTCAAACCTACAACAGAATAGATTTTACAATGGGAATCCTTGTCAATAGAATGTTGACTTCATGTTGGAATCTGTAAATTGTATCCTAACAAATAGAGGATGAGGTGTCTTCCAGCTGCCCTTCTGTAAGTCATTTGTATACATACATCTGTAAGTTGTATGTCTCAACCAAATCTGTACTCACAGGATGAAGGGTTAGGAAGTGCAATGAAGACTCCCCACTGGGAGTCAAAGTGTTCCTCCCCCCATTCCCATTAGCAGCCCCATGTTTTGTGTGCCTGTTTTGTGGAGTAGTTGATACAATCAAAGCAATCATAATTTTTATTCATTCAGGAATCTGTTTTAGATGAATTATGACTTGTCTTTTGATGTACCAAAATCTCACAGGTTTCAGTTATAATCATTGATCTAAAAACACAAGGCATTGATTTCTATGCCTTAGCGAATAGTATGGATGGACACTACAGGTAGACAAGTTGGGATACCTGGTATGACTACCAGTGTGGCGGGAGTGTAACGTGACCATGGAGCTTTCAGTGTTGGATGGAAGAGTGTTGTGGATTCTCTGAGTACTTTATTTAATGACTGTTTCTGTTATTATTAATATTGCGATAACTGGAATGGTCTGTCATCTCACTTCTCCTTTGTGTCCATTTGTCCATTAATGTATTCACTTCTGGCTGGTGTTGCTTTTTTGCTCCACTTGCTCCCATTTCTGGGTCTACTCCCTTTGTTTCAGTTGAACTCCTCTTGGAACTCTTCCTTCTTTCTATGCTTATCTTTATCTCTAGCTTTATTTTACCTTTTGTTCTTCCTTATCTCCTTTTCCTAAGGCTTCTAAACATTGATTCTAGTCTCAAGTTGGGCAGATAAGGTGGGATCTTCTTCTTTTGTAGTTTGTAAACTGAGCACCAATACTGTCTTCTGCTACCTTAGGCTGTCAAAAGGTTTCAATATCTTGTTCAGATAAAGTTAAAAGGGTTTTTAGTTATTGATATTTTCATAGTTTTAAAAATTTATATGTCTGTTTCCTTTGAGAAAGCACTAGTAGAAGTTTTTCTGTGTGTAAATGTATACAACCTCTGGATTCTTCTCCATGCCTTCTGCTTGGAGAGTATATAACAACCCCATACTGTGTCAGAGACAGAGAGAGGGCGGGAGAGAAAGAGAGAGAGCAAGTTCTATACATACACATCTTGTATAGGATTACTTTTTATTCACTTAATTAAATGTGCTTGCCATCTGTCACTATCATTACTTATGACTCTACCTCTTTTCTTTCAGTGAGTACACATTATCCCAATATGGAAGGGAACTTCAAAAAGTTTGTAGAAAAATGGAAGTAAAAATAAGTTTATTTTGGTGCAAAAATTTTTGAAATTTACACATAAACTATATGTATAAATTTATACATATATTTTTATTACACATTTTGAAGGCTCTGCTATGCATGGATTTTAAAATTCTTTGAATTATACTATTTTTTCATTCTAATTTCCGTGGTCTTTTCAAAGTATCTTCATACAACTGTACCAAAATTACCATAATACATTCAATGCCCTAGTCTTGAACACTTAATTTTTGTTTGCTTTGTTTTGGCTTTAATAACTAATATTACTTTCAACATCCTCATATATGATCTTGTGGAAATAATTTTAATAGTGAATATTCTGGAATAAATGATTTTTAGGTTGTATGTGTCTTACAATTCAATGAATTCTTGCAAATGGCTCAGAAAGTTGTACCAAGTTATACTGTAGGAAAGTGCCAGATTCCCCACATCTTTAATTCTGATACATGAACATTTATATTGAATTATTTCAGTATACTTTAAAATTATTTTTCAGGCATGATTTAAATACAATAAAATAATCATTGATTTCCTCTTTTATGTGTGTGTCAGGACCAGTACAACTAACTCCCTGATCGAATTAGGGCAGGGCCCTTTTAAGATCAGATGGCTTGGGCAGGACACCTGCTACATCTCATTAAAAGACCTTTCAACTCTGGACGAGTCATCAGCACAAATGACTTCCAAGATACCTTTGTGACTCCAGACGACCTTGATTCCTGTGTCCAGCCTGCTTCCACATGGCTTCCTCTCCCCGCCTTGGTACTGTTTGGGTCTCTGCTGCCATGTTCACACCACTTTCCACTGTAGTACTGCACCCTCATCCCTGCCCTCTAGCCTGGGTGTCTCCCAAGAACTGACTGACATGCTGTGCCAACCAGCCCTGTGATGCCATGCCAGGAGCTCTCCAATGCCACTCACCTACACTTTTGCTGAACTTATTTTAATCCATTGGGTTCTGGTAGAAATCTCATGTGTTTTGATTGTATGGGGATTCTTTACATGTGAAACATTTTTCTCAACCAAGTATAAGGAAGACATAAACTAAAATTCATCCACTAAATCATTCATTCACTCATTCATTTAGCATATGTTCATTGCATACTTCCTGGAGCTGAACATAGTAGCTAATATGACAGATGTTTCCTCTGGCCTGAGCAGAGTCCCTGAGAGACATAGATAAATAAATAGGCAACTATGACACATCATAGTTCACACTGGAGAAAAATCAAAGCTATAGTGTACTTAGAGAGGATAATGACTTTTTATTCCTTACAATGTTTTTAAAAATTTGATTTTGATTTGCTTATTTACCTTCCTGTCTTGATAGTCCCCAAATTAAGCATGTGTTCTTTTTCAATTTGAAAGTGAGGTACAGTGGATTTTGGGCAATTAATTCAACATATTTGAACCAAAAACAAAATTCCTTTCCTTATATTACTTCGCCATTTCCCACAAAATATTTTGATCAGGAAAAAGTAATGCTGATAGTTTTTTGTTCTAAATACACACTCTGTATTTTGTGGTTTAAGTGACCAGTGTAGACCCTGCAGGAAAAGAAAAACTTCATTAGAGCTGAAAATATTTTGTGTAGGTAAAGAAAGGGATGGAAATGAGGCAGGATAAAAGGCAGGAAAAGCTAGGCAAAAAAAAAAAAAATGGAATAGGAAAAATGTAGGATTACTTGTCATCTTTTCAGTGTCTCTGGGTTGATGATCAGACTCCATTTTCACAACTACTCTTTCCATCACAGAGCCTCGGGCTCACAGCATCAAGATTCTAGTAGAAATGTAAGCAGTGTGCCCAAGTGTATCTCACCATTTCCATTACCTTTCTTGCAAAAGGGACCTCGTAACACCTACCTCACAGGGTTGTTGTGAGGATCAATTAAGACGTGTATGTCAAGATGCCCTGTAATGTCATAAAATGCTTTCAAGACACACAGTACAATTCACAGGAGTTTCTCTGAACTGCAACTACTATTTCTCACTTGTGTAATACAGATATTTTAAATCTGTAATCAAAATAGAAGTGAAAGGAAAATGAAAATGCAAGAAGCCAAATAAACATCATGGATGAAGAGAGAGATGCTAGAGAATAAGATAAGACTTTATATTGGAGAGAGCAATGCAAGTGTGACCAGATCACAAATCAATGAGTTTGTCTGAGCCAAGCAGAAGAGCATTAGTTATAAATAAAAGGAGCGACTAAACAGAGTGCACACCAGAGGCCAGAAGCTGTCAACAAAGGTCAGAACAAAATGTCAGGCTAATAAAACAAGAGTGCAAACTCTGAAGGACAAAGCATGAGCCCAAGATGCTGTTGATGAGCAAGTTCCAAGAAGGGTTGAAACAAATTGGCGTTGTCAGTGGTACTCTCTGAGTCTCTGCCTGCATGACATCAAAATCTGCAAGGAAAAATAAAGAGGAGATAGCAGGGAATCTGCCAGCCAGCCAGAGAGTCCTCAATATTGGCAAACTAGCAACAAGGAATAGCAATTTAATGTAAACATCTAGAGATAAGTGGAGAATTTATCCCTGGTTAAATTTGGTGTGACTTCCTGTTTCACTCTTCTGGAGGCAGGTAGAGTATGGCAGATTCTCAAGGCAGCAGTCCTTGGTCCACACTGGAAATCCCATGTGGAAATCCCAAGGATTCAGTTCACAAGTCATTTTATATCCCAGACTAAATATGGATTGTCAAGTGTATAATACTAGCTCAAATTTCCCAAATTAGTGGAGACAGGCTTTGCTTCTCTCTTTAGACAAAAATAGATGCTGAGTGCCCAGTTCAAATGTACAAAGTATACCAATTTTAATACCATAAAATGCAAAGATGTGTGCACCAAACTTTAATGGTTGTTAATGCGTTGTCTGCTGTGTTCTTGCCTGAACTAGGAAGGTAAGCATTTCACTATGCAGAAAAATTCCTGCCATACAATTAAACACTTTGTGAGGCTTGTGCTGAATATTCCAGTTACTCCTACGTGTGGTTTGTTAGTATGTTTTACTGTGTTTTTCTTATGTCCAATCAAAGTATGACTGGGATGCATGTTTTGAGTTTTTGAAATGCATACAATGATAAGAAAAATTCATTTGTCTTTGATTTGACTTCTGCTGAAGATGCAGTTCAGTCATGAATGATTTCTGATTATTCTCAAAGCATTCTCTTGATCAAGGTAAAACCTC